TTTCTGACATTCTGAGACCCAAACAAATTCAGCGCCTTCTGTGCTTTGATTTGTATATTTGATTATACAAAAATTATGGTCATTTATCTATATGACTAACTAGCCTGAGTGCTAACGCCTGATGAATCCCAGGCTTATATCTAATATGCATTTTGAGAAAACCAGGGAGTTTCAATGCATACTTATAATCTGCAAAATTGACTGTTCTTTGATATTTACCCTGAGGCCCTCTTATCAGCATTAGAGTGGTATAATGAAAACAGTCCCTCTCAGAAAATACCAATACACAGCATGACTTGAGATTTTCCTCTTCACCTTTATACATTAAATTTTTAAATATTGAAATCATGAATAAAGTTATCAAATTTATTTATTTTATGGATAATATTTTAATTATTTATATCTTTAAAACATATGCAAACATTACATAGTTGAATACTAAATTATCACAGTATATTGATTGTTTTAAAATCAATGTATTAATATTCTCTTTCAATATTGAACATAAGGAATTGTCTCCAAGTTATATATTATAGAAATAATAGTTTAGCTTAAATATAAACCTTTCCTTGACGCGAGCTGCATTAGTGATACAAGTAAAAAACAAAAAGAACTCGATTCTTTAATGTCAAAATTCAAAAAGTTAGAAAATGAACAGTGTAAAAGGGAGCAGGATATGAACTGAAGGGGAGGAGCATGCGCGATAACTTGCTCTTCTTTGGCATTGAAGAAGAGAAAGGTGAGAAGGACTCTGATTGTGTGCAGAAGGTTTTGACATTTATCGAGGTCATGAAAATGCAACTACAGACGTCAAACTCCACCGTGCAGACAGAATAGGAAAGTACAAGCCAACGGGCACTAGGCCTATTGTAGCAAAGTTTGCTTATTTCCCTGACAGAGAAAAGGTGCGATTGGACGCTAGAAAATTAAGTAGGCCTTTTGGCATCAGTCAGCAATTTCCGGTAGAAGTCATGGAACGCCGACGAAAACTAGTTCCGGTCATGCTCGACGCACGGAAGGCCGGGAAGGAAGCGTATCTCGCAGCAGACAAGCTGTACATTGACTGACATTTGTACAGGGATGGGGCGACTTCCGGTTCCGGCTAGGATCCTCACAGAGCAGAGATACGGTGTGTAACGTGGAATATTGAAGGACTTTCTCAATTAAAGAAAAATAACACTGACTTTACAAACTTTATTGGTAATTATGACATCATATTTTTAAGTGAAACCTGGACTAATAAAACATCAAAAATAGAACTAAATGGGTATAAACTTTTCACTCTTATATAAACGAGCCAGACGGAGCAGTGGGGGCATTTTATTATTAAGTTAAAAGCTCGATCATAAAAGGTGTTTAACTAGTCAGAAATGACATTGATTGTATTATGTGGTTGAAACTGGATAAATATTTTTTCCAGGTACCAGAAGATATCTATCTATGTTCCATATATATTGCCCCAGAAAGTTCACCTGTTCATAATCTATATGATACTGATATATTGAAGCCGAAGCGCGGCGCCTCTTATGGAATGAAATCAGATTTTGTGAAAGGGCGACAGCAACTTCTCGAGCCTTTTAGTCGGTCATAATAAAAGCCGATCATTCCGATCGGTATGAGGGTGCTTGATTATTAGTCGCCGGTAGAAACCGGCGACTATATTTGTAACAGTTTAATATTATACCTATGGTAGGAGAAGGCATTAATTTCGGTAAATAAAAGCATAACAATTACTGAACAATTAAAGACTACAATTGTTATCAGAAATCTCAAAAATTCAAACATACAATAATGTTGCTAAATGAAATGAAATATTCAAATACTGACATCGTAAAAAGCAACATTACAATATTTATAAAATGAATTAATGACGTATCCCTATGGACCAGTCATTGAATTTAGGGATGCTTTTACTTTTTTTAAAGTGTCAAGCGTTGCTATTTTATGATAAATAAATTATGCATGATATTTGGAATGACACTTTTAAATTATCTGGTTGTTTGTATCTTATGAGACCTATTCTATTTTTTATCTTATTTATTATAAACAGTTTCTCCCAGAATCACGTGACTACACGTATGAAATCTATTAATAGTAACAAATGGCTGGCAAGATAGAAATACAGGTAACATGTGAATGATAAAGCTGATAAAGTGCAAATCAAAGTAATTTTTGTATGAAAAATCTCGGTATGACAGTAGGGGTCGGAATCGTATTGGATACACAGAGAAAACTAATAAACCTACTTTGTGTTGATAGTTTATCGCACTGAAAGGCAATTAAACATTAACTTTATCGTAATGTATAGTCTGATTTTATTAACCTGTCAATTATGAATACATTATAGGACTCATTTAAATAATCGATCCCACTTCGGTTTGGTCAGTGTAGTTTACGAGAATTAATGTGGAGTATATTAGTCATGGATTGAAAGTCACGCCAACTTTATGCACGGATTTATATTTTATTTATGTAATATAAATCCGTGCTTTATGTGAAGGTTTTTCGTTAATTCACAATAGGACAGTCGTGATAATTGAGAGGTCTGTGGTTCGATCCTCACTGTTGCCATTGTTTTAGTACTCTTTCTTTATTTTTGCAGTGTATTTTTAATGGAAACAGATTTGTAGTGTGTTTTACGGCATTGAAAAGACATTTATTGATTTTAATCCGTTTTAATTTTAAATATGAATTCTTAAAAAACATGTTAATTAAAAAGAGTATATACATAACAAAATTAAGTAAAACATAAAAATACGAACAACATATATTAATCATATAATTATAGATTCGATAATGTTGAAAGTATTAATAAGAAAAAAAACATGGACCAACGCGGCCTCGAACTTAAAACACGTTTGGCACTTAGATTATAAACTCGTGATTTACCTCATTGCGCTATAACGCTGAGTACTCTTATTTTAGAGATACAAATTAAATTTAATTCCATCGTACAGCGTAAATCTCACGGAACTTACCGAACACCTACCGAAGATTAATATACTGTGTGCATCGACCGTGTAATCAGTATATATATATATATATGTAATTGACAGGCAATAACGACAGGAATATTGATTTCAGCTAAATAATATATTTTTTCGATAGTGCATAAGAATAATTTGTTTATGCAGACACCACTTTTACAGTAGAATTGCATTGTTTTATGCAATAATTAAGCATATATATTTTCATAGCCACTTAATTTGCAAATATTCGATGATCGGTAATAATTTGTCGGTAATTATCGGATGCTGAAGAAAACCATACGTACAACGGTATATGTATAAAGTAGAATTACAAGTAGCATTATAATCATATCAATTGCTTTACAAGCCTTGATGACAAGGTGTTAGATTTTAAGTTAGTTTCAAATTGAAGACTGTAGGTTCGATAAAGTGATTTTTTATGTTTTCTTTTATAATACTTTTTGTATTTTGCAAAACTTGACCGTTTATCAAAATTATGAAATAAAAAGTGCTAGAAATGAAACACACGATTTATCAACTTATGTTTCATAAAGTTAAAAGATATAATAAAAATCAATTTATGAAAACTACACACAGGATTTGTCCGAGATTCGAACTTGCGCCTACTTCATGTAGGTTACAACTTCGTCATACTTACCACTAGGCCATCGAGCAGTATTAATTGATATAATTATATATGTAATTATACTTATAATAAAATCGTTAACATTAATCATAATAAGTTATGTAAACAAACGAAACAGCTCCCGAAAATTATTGAGTCTCGGGTAAATATTGCCAAACAATACTTGCTTATTTAATTATGATAACAGTTTCTTGACAAAATTGCTAAGCAAGTTTGATTCAAATATGATGTTTTATTATAACATAAGATAATTTTTTTGCATAAAACTCTCATCAAGAAAAATATAATTGTGGCAAGTAAATGAAAACGTGTTTATGAATAAACATTACTCAACTTATTGTTCCTCTTTTCTTTTTACTCGAAGCATTAAACTGATATTTTCTTTTATTTATGATAATACAATCATATTTCTATCCGGCGACTTGATGCTTTAGCATCAAAATCTCTACTTGTTCGTATTGATACGCGTTTAACTTTTGAGGCATGGAGGAGCACGTGACCTGTTTTCGGTACATGGAGGAGCATGTGATTTGTAAACCGTACATGATTGGTTAATTGACCTTTTCGAAAACCTGGCTAAATACCGTTTGCCGGTACGTTACGGATTTACCTCTAGGGAATAAGTCAGAATAACACCTAATTAAGAACAAAAAACTATTACGTGATATTTCTAATTTTCTATAATTATTTTACCGTTTAAGGTGGAACACTTGAATGATGTGTTTGAAAATTATCAATGTTTCTTTAATATGTATCTCAAATTTTACAATAAATTGTTTATACTTCGACCTTCTTCGGTCATCAACGGTCACCAGTTTCCAAAGACCTTCTTCTATATTGATCGATTATTGTTAACTATATTCCTGAAACAAACGTTTATTTATCCCCCCCCCAGAAAAAAAACAAAACAAAAAAACAACAACAAAAAAAAAACAATGTTGAAAATAGTTAAATGAAATATCTTTATATCATTAAAAATGTTCCCCGCAGGAAACCATTTTACTTGTTAATTAAATGTCGCGATATGTTACAATGAATAGCGAACTGGAAAATTTCGCAATGCAAACATTTTCAAATGAAATAACCTTTTCCGTCAATAAATCGCGCTCTTCGGTGATTTTTATTTATCATTTTGTAGTACACAGTGGGTTATCATGGTATGTTATTGTTGTACATGTATCCTACAATGATCAGTTGATGACCTAAATATTCCGAAAATCTATTTATAGATATATCTATTTATCACTCCTATCGGTAATTCCCGGTCTATTTTGACCGGGATTTACTAGTACCACACGTTTATTGTCCGGTCTCTCCCGGTTTTGGAATAGATGTGAGATAGCGTTACAATTCGAACCCCCCCCCCCCCCCCCCCCCAAAAAAAAACAACAACAACAACAATAGCATGTTTCATTTTATCTATATGAGATAAAAACAATAAATATGTACAATAATTGAGAAAAAGGTACATTTTTATGGTATTAATATGACATTATCAACTTTGAAACATTTTATTTAATTTGTTATCCGTGTTTAGTAAAGATGCCGAGGAATTATTCAAAGTTTCAAATTAGATTTTATGAATTATTCAATTGATTGATAATTTAAAAAATGATAAAGAAAGATACAAATGTACATGTACATGGTTTAAGAATAAACAATATTATATATTGAAAGATTAACCATAATTTACTGACTTTTTCCAGTTAAGTTTTGACTTATAATCGTCGGTCAATATGACAATTGAATTCTTAAAATTTATTTTACAATTTTAATAAAAAAAAGAGTAGTAAACATAAATACTCAGTATTAAAATAGCACATAAAACACAAAAAAGAAAAGAAAACAATATTCATAAAATTTGTATATTTTTATTAAAATTAATAGATATTAATTATTGTATAATAAAAAATTATGCTCAACATGATCAACATGGTAATATAACCAGTGTCATATTTTTACTAAGTGTGAACAGGTACCTTAAGAGGGGGTCTTCGCTAATAGCGGACAATTACACAAGTGTGGTACGTGTTGATCATGCGTTACACATGGATTATAAATGATTGTATACATGTATATTAGCTATAACAAGTCTCTTGTAATTCTTTCGAGAATGGCTATATACAAATTTAATGTTTTAAATGTTTTATATGTATATATGTTTATAGATGAGACTATAATAAAGAATAAAATGTATATCCGTTGCTATTAATAACCACGATCATAAAGAAATAACAAGTAATATTCTAATCTCTAGCATGCCAATCAAAGTTCATAATGAACAATGTCTTTCGTCCGCTCATTCATAAGTGATATACAATTCTGGTAGTTTATAAGAATATCTTGTCATCAGTGAGTTAGCCAATAGCGGATCATAGCCAATAACGGGTCAGTCAGTTATTTAATAAATTATTTTACTAAATGTTTTGAACTTAAAAGTGTTATAACCTAACAGTCATGTGCATTAGGATGTAAGCTCCTCGACAGCGAAAAAAGAAATGTAAACATCCGGATAATTCTAATCAGATTCATTCAGATGCTTTACCAAGCGTTTCCGTTTGTCGCGAAATATTGCGCCAGTAACAACACAAATTTGCAGTCGCTGCTTTATTGCTGAAAAACCCCAAAAGATATTAGATCAAAGCTGGTAGGTATTTGATGCCCAATATGTTAACTATCTGCAGCAGCAGCCGTTTAAGAAATGCATGAGGAATTATAGTGATAGCGCTGGTCAATCAAATTGCATCACGTTGTCCAATAGCGGGTCATGCAATTTTCCAGGAAGGGACCGCCTCAAAGTTATTCAACAGATTGTAGAAACTATTTTTTTAAAGCAAATTTTGGTTTGTATACAAAGAAATATAAAATTTGATTTATTTATGTTATAATTGCAAGTCAATTATGCTGTCCCTGCTAAAATATGGTGTTTTATGTAGTATAAACTGCTGTAACATTGAAATATTATTGTTCTAGATTCTAAAATATTATTTTTAACTGTACAGTAACTTCTTTATTTTTAAGTTATCAACTTTAAACTTCAAATACATGGTTTTTCATCACCCACAGGATTTGTGACAAAATTTATTACTTTAGCACACATTTGTTTTACAGAATTATTTCCCCATTGAACTTAGAATTTTGTTTAAAGTTTAATAAAAAATTTTTTTATTATTATTATAACTTCTTCATTTCTTGAGGTATCTCCTTTTATCTTCAAATGTTTGTTACTTATTATCACACACATCACATGTGATAGATTTATCACTCTAGCATGAACATTTTTGTAATCAACCCCCCCCCCCCCGGGACTTTTGGTTATTGTTCTTTGTCATTACTCACATCATGACATGACCAGCTCATTTGTTTACTTGTTTTATTGTTTCAGATTCTAATACCTAAGGGAAAGAGAAAAAGTGTTCAATGTAGTCCAGCCCAGAATGCAGCCTCCTCAGTGGTAAAAAATAAAGAATAATAGTTTTAAACATGGCTAGCCCATAAAACATAAATAAATGCTTTAATGTTGTGCTGTTATTTTTATTCTTTTTTCCTTACTTACTCTCATTAAGATTACTTTTTTATATAAATAAAGCTATTGTTAAATCTAATTTTCCTTTATGAATGAAATAATTTTTATTTTTCAGGAAACTTCAGAACAATCCATGGTCCTTAGAAAGTCAGTTATCAAAGGGTATCACGCTTTTCAAATAAGACCACCATCAACTACACCCCCAACACGTCTAACTGTAGAGCCTGAATATACAAATACTCATGATACTGATGCCTGCTTGGTGTGGTTGCCGCCACTTGAGTCATTCCAAACATTGTTACAGGATAGTGTCACTGACCAAAAACGCCAGCTTCGGTTGCGAGATGTAGCAGGACTTCCAATTAGCCATGTTCGACGAGGGATAGCTGGCTTTTTTCGTACCATTATGGACAAAGGACATATCGAAGCTGAGGTTACTGGTGAGCCCACTCAGAGTTTCCCACCATGGCCAGCTCCAAGTTCTGAAGGTGGTGGGGTTGTGTTGCCATGCAACTATATTATATTTCACCCAGATATTGAGAGTAATTTTCAAAAAAACTTTCTGTAATATTAGATAAAATCCCAGAAGGCCCTGCCATGACACTGAACAAGGAATAAACATATGTTAATTTTCAACTCTGTAAAAGCCAATTAAGCCTAACAATGCTATTATTATTTTTTTCAGTCTTGTTATTTTAAGGCTATCACTTTATTTTTTCAAAGCTTTGTTATTTTTAATGTCCATTTTACAGCTTCCAGAAGTTACTTATTGGTCATATTTCTGAACCATTTTTAGTTTCCTTTGTGCTTAGGTTTAGTACAGTTAAAGTTAATTAGTATTTTGTATTAATTTACTTGCTTTATCACAAATGATTTTATATTCAAAGGTATTTTCATCAGATGATAAGCATCTCACATGATATAAATCCATATTACAACATATTTAAACTCATTTTTGCACTTTCGACAGAATTATTAATTTTTCTTACACATAATGTGCTTAAAGTGACTGAAAATTTAGAATTTTTTTAACCAAGCAAGTATTGTTTAATGATCTAGTCAATATTGTTTTACATAATTAAATGTATTTTTTTAGGTTTGACTTGAACCAAGTCAATTTTGTTTAATGATAATAAGTCAATATTGTTTTACATAATTAAAATGTTGTTTTTTTTAGGTTTGATGTTGAACCAAGTCAGTATTGTTTAATGATCGAGTCAATTTTGTTTTACATAATTAAATGGGTTTTTCTTTAGGTTTGACGTCGAACCAAGTCAGTATTGTTAAATGATGTAGTCAATATTGTTTTACATCATTACATGTATTTTGTTATGATTTTGTTTGTTTATATCACAGTTTACTCAATAAGAGAAAATCAGTTGACAATTTTGTTTGTTATTCTTATAAAGTGTATCCTCATAATGACCACATAGAAGAACATGCAAATTTCTTGAGACTGCATTTTAAGCTTTTGATTCACAACAAGACACTTGTGTTACAGTTAATTTAATTTTACGTAGAATGTGCAAAAAATTGCTTCAATGAGCTGCCTTGTCCCCTGTAACCCTGAAAATAAAATAAATATGTTATCTACACAATTTACAATTCATTGAGCAGATATCTAGATCAGCATTATTACAATCATTATTTTTACCACAATCATGCAGCTGCCACTTGGATTCTTGACTTATTGGTACCCTTTTCACTTTAATACTCAACGGTAACACATAGCTGTGTAATATTTTCCTGGTTAAGGAAGAATTTGACAGATAATTAATGTTTTGAGAAAACCGTATATCACGTGACCCGCTAATGGCCGATTTGACCCGCTATTGGCATGTTTACAAGAAGTTTGGAAACGGTAAATACACCACGATGCATTCAAAATATGAATCACAAGAAGTATACAGTAAAAGGGGAATAAAAATACTTCTAATCATCATACATTTATATATGAATCAAAAATCGTTCGTTCATAAACACTAAAAGTTTCGCTAGTGATCCGTTATTGGCCAACTCACTGTCTGTCTACTAGTTCATCTTCACTTGCTGCATTTCTTGATTGGACGCCCTTTGATGCTTTGCATCAATGCTTTTCTTGTATAAATTGTAACGAAAATAGAGGAATGGTATATGTGTGCGGAGATACAAACTCGAGAATTGGTTCAAACTCTGACTGTATAAATTATGATAATAATTATATTGTTATATGAGCATGCTTATTTAGCTATGGATTCATTTATTCCGCGGACAACGACTGATCGTGGTACAAACCGGTTTGGGGAACAATTACTTGATCTTTGTAAATCTACAGATATACGCATTGTAAACGGACGGTTGGATATAGCGACGCGAATCTCGGGAAACCTACTTGTTATACGTATAACGGGAACAGTGTAGTGGATTATTTGTTAACAAAAGCATGCAATTTTGAAAATATTTCAGAGTTTCGTGTTCATGATTTGCAGGGGGTCGAACGTATAGCGGTGCGATACTCCTTTAAGCGAGGTGATTTCATGCGATACGCCCTAATGGCGGATTTACCCGTGTAAACACACGTCAGAGTGAGTGTTTTTTATTAAGTATTTCATAAATTTTCGATAACAATTGCATATTTTGTATTGAGGATGTGAAGATATGACCGACACACATTTCATCAAAATTACAGAGGCCTAAATTCATAATTAAAAAAGTTATTGAAGGTAAACTGACGGCAACTAATTTTGGGTCGGTGAATAAAATCGCTTAATGCAAGCTTATATTAATATAGTTAATTTCTTTTTCTTCTTTATTCTATAAGAGTAATCATAATTGAGTTGCATAGCAAGTACCTTTGTGCTCCGATATACATAGACGCTTACTGGTCAAAATATTTAAGTGTACGCTGGATTTTGGTGCGATAAAATAACTGTACGCTGTTAAAGGTTCGATATTTTTCATTATCACATCTGCTGTACATGTTTTCCTTTGATTATACTAAGATATCTACCATATATGTGCCCGTTTCCGGAATTCTAAAATCTTCTTCTTTCTTTCTTAAAGATTAAGATCTTAGATAAAAAGTAGGAATTTGACCAAAATATGTAAGAATGAATTTAAGAAACAAATTAAGAAATTTTGTATAAATTAATTCACTTTCAAAGCAGAACATTTCAGAAAAATAGCTGTTAATATGTGATATAAGGGCTGTTTTAGTTCATGAGGTTCTAAGATCTTTTGTACATGCTGCTGTCAAAATGATATTTTTTCATATTATAAATAGAATTAAACATTTCAAACAACCTATAAAATACAGTGAAAGTACATTTCACTGCTGTTCTAGAGATAGAGACTGAGAACCAGGTGGTAAAAATCTTTAGGTGGTAAAATTCTTCTTTAAAATGTTGCTTAGAACAGGCTATTTTTGTAGTGCACATACTTGTGGCCTGTCAGGAAAAACACAAAACTACAATTTCAAAATTCAGTCAGTCATTGGACACCAAACAGCTCAGTGTCTTTCTTAGGTCACATGTGCAAATACACAGTTGTAAATGTTGCAGAGCAATTAAAACATTACAAATTGATTAACAAACAAAACTACAGCCAGATAGGTAAAGTACCACACGTACAAATGTTGACACATGTGCAAATAAACAAAAAACTATTGAGTATATAATATTAGATTGAGTCACACTGCTTATGGAGTAGTATATAAATAACACATGGGTTTGTGGGTAACAGTTAAAATATCATCCCAAGGAAAATACTGTTAGCCAAGGTGTTAGCCGAGGGAAACAGTATTTTTTAGGAGGGTTGATATTTTTACTGTCACAAACGCTTGTGTGTTATTTATTTTATTTTCCGAACAGATACTGTAATCTATAATACTTTTATTTACATAAAAAAACACTTGCCCAGATTTTATACTGTTAAAAAGTGCTGCTGGCCTGTAACAGTACAAATCTCTTGGTACACTTGCTTTAACAATAAGAGTAACTCCTAATGGAAATGAATATTTACAAAAAAGTGATGGGTAATACTATACATTCAATGTTGCAGAAAAAGCCTTGTTTTAAAAGTAAAACTACTGGCAGATATGTTAAATCACTAAAAGTATGAATCCTTTCATAAGCATATACACAAAGCTGTTTGGTATACACTGGTTATGGAGTAGTATAGTTATATATTCAAAGCGACAGAGCTAATGACAAACATCAGTCTTACTGAAATACAATGATGTGCTCTGTATATAATATATAACATCCAATCCATAGGGGAAATCAAACCAGTATTTTTTTTGTTCCATTGCAAAAAAAAATAAATGGAAGAAACAAAACGGATATTATCGTGACTATTGATTATTTGATAGAATTTCAAATTTCTGTGCATAACTTATCTCATTTTAATGATTAAACTTTGTGAGAAAAGAATATTTAAATTAACTATATCATAGTATAATACATTAATTGACACTGTTGTTTTAATTGACACTGTGGTTTACATAATTATGATTAACATACAAACTCAAAACTTGATATTTCATCAAAATTGAATAAGAATGTACTGTAATGAGGAAGTTGCTACAGAAAAACATACCAACATTTAAGCGTACAGTTGGTTTATCGGAACAAATATTAGGCGTACAGTAAGAAAACTGGAAATATTTTATATATTTTCGGATAGATATGGAAAACTACTCTTGTATATCGTTTTGTTTTCAAAAGTAAACAAGTTGGGACTTAAACTAATCGAATATCTCGTTTTAAAACGACTGATACATTATTCGTTTGCATGTGCATATCAGGTTGACGGTTGAATTTGCAGCAACAAATACCTCAATAACTTCCTCAATTCCATAAAATTTAGTATTTTATTTTGACAATCATGCACAATTATAAATTCTGATCAGCATGCAGAATGCTATTCTTCAAAACATTACAATAGACAACAAATATTTGGGGAAAAACATGCTCATACCCACTTTCGTTTTCGATCCCGTCCGCCATTAGGGCGTATCGTATGAATTCACCTCGCTTAAAGGAGTATCGCACCGCTATACGTTCGACCCCCTGATTTGACCGCCCACTCAAATCACGCCCCGATTTCATTCTCGTTGAAAGTAAGGACCGTGCCAGTCGTAACGAATCCGCGTTAACGCACGATTTATAAATGGAATCCCGAATATAGGACGGAATTTGTAAACGATATTTCGCGAGACATAGAAATGCTTTGTCAAAACTTAAATGAATCCAAGCAAAATAACCAGGATCCAGATGAAATGGTTAATATTTTACAACATATTTATCTGAAAGAGGTAATGCGTATTTTGAAACTTGTTAACGCATGTTTCAGCGATAATAAAACGAATAAATGGTTCGATGAAAGCTGTAAACAAAAGTATACTGTATATAAAAATGCTGTATTAGAATTTAATGCTAACAAATCTGTAGAAAATAGAGAATTATTATATTTAAAAAAGATGGATTATAAATATCATTGTAGAAAAGTAAAACGGAACTTTGACAGAAAACAAGCTGCAAAAATGAATGAATTGAGAAACAAAAAGCCAAAAGAATTTTGGAGGATGTTTCGTCAAAGTAAATCAACCCACGGTGCATATCCATATCGGTACCCTCTTTGCGAAATCTGCTCAAACGGTACCCTCTTTGAACATGCACAGGTCATTCTCTGCTAAAAACAAACCAGCGATGGATAACAATCCAGTAAAATTTCATTGTAATAAGGAAAGGGGGTATGACACGTAGAAAAGATGTATACCACGGAACACTAGAATGTTTTATTTATGTGATGATTTGTCATGTGCCCGATTTTCATGTACAGCAACTTCACAATATGCTACAAAAAATCGACATGTCTTGCCTCGCCCATCACCTCGACATATTTTTCGGGCTGAAATGAACCTATTGCTTGATTATATATGCATCATACATATTTAATATGTTCATATACATATCATCTTCGGACAAATGGCAGTATATTGTCAAAAATAAATGAAAAATTCATAAAAACACCATACTTTCCGTTTTGCAGCGGCACGGGCTACCTCTCTTCATTTGAATTTTTATATCACAGGTCCCTCACCGCTGTAGGTTCGATCCTCACTCGGGTCGAAATCTTTCATGTGAGGAAGCCATCCAGCTGGCTCTAAGGTCGGTGGTTCTACCCAGGTGCCCGCTCGTGCCTGAAATAATGCCCGGAGGGGCACAACCAATAAAGCTGGAAAAAAATCGACGAAAAATCTCGGCGGGACGCTCTAGGATTGCTCGACTTGAGCCCATATGGGCTTTCCGGCGGCGACCTTAAATAAACGCATTAAAAAAGCGTTATTGGTAGCAAAGGTTACAAAGCCAAGATACCGCCCCTTCCCCTATCTAAATTTATTAGGTATTCTTTTATTAAAAGTAAAAGTAAATTATTTCTTTATTGAAGTAAAAGTACATTATATCTCTCTTCAATTATTCTGCATTGAAAGTTCTTTCTTAAATTAAATTTGGTAGTTACATTTGTATTATAGAATTTAATGTACTATCAGACAGTTCATACTTGATAAATTAAAGTTTATATGTTTGAACAGAGACATAGATAACATAGATAGTTATCTATGTCTCTGGTTTGAATAAAGAACATTGTCGTATATGTATATAATTCTGTATTAAAAATCAGAACTGGAAACTTGGTGTTTTTGTCATTTCCTGCAGTAAATACTTGGAATTAAACAGACGAAGTGAGTCCAAGCTTCGGGCTATATAAATCAGTAGCAAGAAAAAGGGAGGGGAACTTGCGAAGCCAGGTTGTGATATTTTTGCAACCTGTCGCCTCGGAAGTAGCCTAGTCCTATAAATATGACGTCGCTTCGAGATATTTTGCTTCTGGGCAAAGCTTGCCCGACATAAACTATAATTTTTTGTTTGTTTTAGGTTTTATTTATACGGGGCGCCGGTTTCCCATATGTCTCAGACTAGTCGGCCTCTATTACGATTGCTGGTCGTAGAGTCTGCAACGGAGGACTTATTCGCCTGCAACGTCGTCGATGTCGTAGAGCCGCGACGGAGGTCTTTTCATGCTGTCGTTCGTCGTAGACCTTCTCTAGGACCCAATTCCTCGCTTCTTGAACAATGGTTGACAATAGAGGAAAGGCACCTCTTCCGGGAGCAGCAGCTCTCTTTAGGGCCACACCCCTCGCCGTTGGTTAGGTCACACCAGCTAAGTGACCTAACTAGGTCACCCATCTGGTGTGACCTATGCCTTCCGAACGACGTGCACGCCGCGAAGGGAAGTCGGAAGGTAAACTATAACAAGCCTGTAACGTCTAATATATTGGACTAGGAAGTAGCCCTCTCCTGCTACAAAAATAAAACTAATTAACACAACATGACATTAACCTGCTAATAATAATAATAATAATAATAATAGCTCCTTCCATAGGCCAAAATAAAAAGCATTCCATAAGAGACGACGCCGCTCACGGCGTCGCCAGTAATAGCAATCTCCTCGCGGTAATTACCTCCCTTGGCAGAATTGTACGCCAAAGAA